TCTTGCCGCCAGAGACTGGGAGGATGACACATATTTCTCTGACAGAGACGATAAAATAAAGACAGTTCGAACAGTGCCTGGGGCTAGTCAGCGGGAGGGCGATTTAGGCGGGTCCTAAAGGCCCGGGCGCTGAGCCCCGCCTTCTGCGAAGGCCTTCTTTTCCCCAGAAGAGGTACCGATTCTTGAGAAATGCGTTAGTCGCTGGGCACTCAGCGGTGTTTACGCCCCCCCCCATTCAGTGCCTGAGACAGGCGAACCTCATTTATCCCGATTGTGGGGGACGGAGCTGACTCGGGGATCCCAAGGTCACGTCCGAAGCCCTTGGCCCTGGGGTTCAAGCTTCGGTTGTGGGTTTTCCATTCCAGGCAGGTGAGGGTTAACTGGGAGACTCACGCTGCAGCCTGCGAGCCTCCCTCCACGTCTGAGTCACAGGCACTTTGCAGCCTTAGAGGGGCGGCCACTAAACAGCCCCAGGGCTCTGAGCTTTGTTCTCTGCCTGCCTGTCCGCTATCCATCCTTCCTTTCTCCAATCTCTCCTCGTCTCTTTTATTTTATTTATTTAATTTTCCCCCAAAGCTCCAGTAGATAGTTGTATGTCATAGTTGCACATCCTTCTAGTTGCTGTATGTGGGACGCGGCCTCAGCATGGCCGGAGAAGCAGTGCGTCAGTGCGCGCCCAGGATCCGAACCCAGGCTTCCAGTAGTGGAGCCCGCGCACTTAACCGCTAAGCCACGGGCCGGCCCTCTCCTCATCTTTCTTTTACCCAAGTCCTCAAAGCCCTCAGCCCAGCTGTGGGGCAGACCAATCTCTGGGCATTCTTAGACCCAGCTCCAGCCCCACTTGCTCCAGGAAGCCTTTCCTGATTGATCTGGCCTCCAGAATCCCTCTCCTCCCCTTGCTCTGGAGCCGGAGAGCCAGGCACTGGGATGGACAGTGGTGAACCCAAGCAGAAAGTCCCTCTCCTCAAGCTGCTCGCCTCTTGGGGACAAGACCAGGCGATCGTATGACTATATAAAAAGTGCAAAGGCTGGAGGCTGGGTGGCACAGAAGACCCAACTCAGCCATGGGAGTCAGCGATCTTCCTCTAGGGGCCCTGAAGGATGAGCTAGTTGGGCCTGCCAAAGGGGAAGAAGATACAGGATCTCTGGTCAAGGGGACAGAGAACAAAGGCCCCAGGTCACAGCGATTCCACTCCTGGGTATCTACCCAAGGGAAATGAAAACGTGTCCATACAAAAACTTGAACACAAATGTTCATTGCAGCATGATTCAGAATAGCCGAAAAGTGGAAACAACCCGAATGTCCATCAACTGAAGAACGGATGAACAAGCTATGGTCCATCCATAGAATTGATACACACACGTGTCCGGTAGTTTCACAGCAAGCATCTTTACTGCAAACATCTTTGCTGCAAGCATTGTCACTGCATAACTAATTGGCAGTAAGACAATTGCTGTAAAAGATAAAATCATGAAAAATAAAAGAGAGATGTTAATTAAAAAGGACATAATGAAACATGAAAAAATGAATAACAAAATTAAGACTTTATAGCAAAATGCAAACTATTTGAATACATTTAAAATGTGTATACATAGGGGCTGACTTGGTGATGTAGTGGTTAAGTTCACGTGCTCCACTTGGACGCCCGGGGTTTGCGAGTTCAGATCCTGGGTGTGGACCTACACCACTCATCAAGCCATGCTGTGGTGGTGACCCACATACAACATAGAGGAAGACTGCCATGGTTGTTAGCTCAGGGCCAGTCTTCCTCAAGCCAAAAAAAAAAAAAAAAAAAGAGGATGATTGGCAACAGATGTTAGCTCAGGGCCAATCTTCCTCACCAAAAAATAAAATGTGTGTGTAAATGTGCCCAAAAAGCTTATTTTATTTATTTTTATGTGGTTTGTACCTAACTAAGCACTTGTCTTCGTTCTGTGGAAAATATGGGTTCAACTCCATGCCCTCAAAGAGGCCCTGGGCCCTCTTTTTCTCCTCCAATGTAGTGTGTTTCAAAGCACGAAACTGACTTTTGGGGCAAATCGGTGTCATCTGTCAGCTTGATAAAACCGTCAATAACGTCGCTAACTGGAAGAAATGCTAACTATTTTGAGACCACCACTACAGCCCCCATGTCTACTCGTCGCTGTACAGACCACTACGAGGGCTGGCTAAGAGTATATCATATAAAAATGGGGGTAACTGTCAGACCTTCGTCAATGGAGAAATGAAACCAAACTAACAAACAAAACAAAACAAAAACTGTCACTCAGTCTTTACGGCAAAATTGCCTTCTGGCCAATTAGTTATGTGGTAACAATGCTTGCTGGCAAAGATGTCTACCAAAGATGTTTACTTGGAAACTACCTAGAACCACACACACCGTGGAATATTATTTAGCGATAGAAAAGTATGAAGTACGTACAATACGGATGAACTCTGAAAACTTATGCTAAGTGAAGGAAGCTGGCCACAGAATGATGGCTATTGGCATGGGGTTTCTTCAGGCGTGATGAAAAGTGTTCTACGATTAGATTATTGTGATGGTTGTACACTGTAGACATACTCAGACCATTGACTTGTCTACTTTAAAGGGTGACTGTTGTAGCATGTGAATTTTTTTTTTTTTTGGTAAGGAAGATCAGCCCCGAGCTAACATCCGTGCCAATCCTCCTCTTTTTGCTGAGGAAGACTGGCCCTGGGCTAACATCCATGCCCATGTTCCTCTACTTTTTATGTGGGATGCCGCCACAGCATGGCCTGACAAGCAGTGCATCGGTGCGTGCCCGGGATCCGAACCCCAGGCCACCAGCGGTGGAGGACATGCACTTAACCCCTACGCCACGGGGCCGGCCCCTAGCATGTGAACTCTATCTCAATAAAGCTGTCTAAAAGAAGTCAGGGACAGGGCTGGCCCAGTGGCATAGTGGTTAAGTTCTCGCGCTCCGCTTCGGCAGCCCAGAGTTTGCAGGTTCATATCCTGGGTGCGGACTGCCGCACTGCTCATCAGGCCATGCTGTGGCAGGCATCCCACATACAAAAAAGGAGGAAGATGGGTATGGATGTTAGCTCAGAGCCAATCTTCCTCAGCAAAAAGAGGAGAATTGGCAACAGATGTTAGCCCAGGGCCAATCTTCCTCATAAAAAAACCCCCAAAAAACAAAAAACAAAACAGTCAGGGATCGGGAGAGCCAGAGGTCAGCTGAGGAAGGCCAAGTGTCCATCATGGATTGATTCTACGCTCTGTCTTTGCTCCACACACGATGCAAGGCTGTTACTGCATAAACGCTGAAGAAGTCTTTCCTTGACCTGGCAGAGACCTCTGGGCACAAGCAGGAGGCCTGCATTTCTCAAAATAGGCCGATATTGGGGTGTGTGTGTATGTGTGACACCTGCCACCTGGGTGTTTGTTTCCACAGTCTAGGCTGCGTGGACAGGCAGAGCAGAGTAACCAGGGGTGGCTGCAAGCTTCGATGTGCTCATGAATTAAAGGCATGCTGAGGGGGCACCGGCTGTGTACCAGGCTGGCCTCCGGGTGTGTGAGTGAGGCGGGAGAGGGTGAAGGGCGTCCCAGTTGTCTATGCTGATCACAAATCACCCTAAACCTTGTTATCTCTCACAGTTCTGGGGGGCAGCTGGGCTCGGCTGGGGCAGTTCTTTTCAGGATTTCTCATATGGCTGCAGTCAGACCATGGGGGCTGGGTCCTAGAGTAAGCATCCCAAGAGAACCAGGTGGAACCATCAGCCCCAGCCTTGCACTGGAATATGCCTGTGTGTGTATATTGGGGGGGACCACAGGCCCAGCCCAGGAGACTGATTCTTCCGGCCTAGGCCACTCAGCCTGGGGACCCCAGTTGGCCTTTGTTCTCTAGAGAAAGCTCCTCTTCTGTCACCTCCTCTTCAGGGCAAAGTTCACTTTCTGAGCAGCCCGGGCGGGGCTGGGGCTTGTGTAGGATGAGTAACAAGGTGTGGCTTCTAAGGGTAAGAGGGAGGGAGGACTGCAGGTCTGGGGGCTGGGAGACACAGAGGGTGGGGGTGAGGTGCTTCACCGGGGTGACTGGGGGGCGGGCAGGAGGAAGACCAGCCATCCGGAACTTTCTGAGCCCAGCCCTGGGAGGATCTTTATCAAACCAGCCACTGCAAGGTCTTTCCCGGGCAGCTCAGGATGTGTCCAGAGGGCGTGTCCAGCTCTGCTGGGGCCACGGCCCGTAGGCCTGGCCTTGGTTATGCAGGAGTGGGGCTGGGGAACAGAAGCAGGCCAGGGAGGGTGCACGGCCCTCCCACCTTCCACGGGGGCCCACTGTCTGAGGACTGCACAGACCTGCAGACCAGTTACATCCCCACCCCAGGACCACCCCAACGTCCTCCTTTCCTTCTTGCTCCAGGGTTGGAATCTGAGCTCCACCAAATCCTTGCTGTGTGACCTTGGGCAAGTCATGTTCCTCTCTGGGCCTCTGTTTTCTCATTTGTCAGGAGGAGATTGTTACTGAGATTGTGGCTCGGGATCTCGAGAAGGTCACGGATGGTGAAGCCCTAGAGCAATCAGCAGGTAAGGCAGGCGACAGAGGATTTGGAACCCTCCCCGAGGGAGCATAGAGATGAACCAGAGGTCATCTTTGCGGCTGGAGAAAGTAGGTCCTCGTGCCACGTCTCCGTTTGCTCATCCCCTCACCATACAGAAGAGGAAACTGGAGCAGCACTTGTGGGATTAAGAGCCTCGAAATTTGAAAGTAGTTAAGAGAGTAGATCCTAAGAGTTCTCATCTCAAGGAAAAAGATATTTTTTCTTTTTTTGTGAGGAAGATTGGCCCTGAGCTAACATCTGCCAATCCTCCTCTTTTTGCTGAGGAAGACCGGCCCTGGGCTAACATCCTTGCCCATCTTCCTCCACTCTACATGGGACGCTGCCACAGCATGGCTTGACAAGCAGTGCGTTGGTGCGCGCCCGGGATCCGAACTGGCGAACCCCGGGCCGCGCAGCAGAGCGCGCACTTAACCACTTGCACCACGGGGCCGGCCCCTCTTTTTCTTTTTTTTTGTATCCATATGAGATGACGGATGTTACCTAAACTTATTGTGGCAATCATTTCACAATATATGTGAGTCAAATCATGAGGCTGTACACCTTGAACTTATACAGTGCTGTACGTCAATTATATTTCAATAAAACTAGAAAGAAACAAAAAAGTCACGAAGACCCAGGTTCCATTGCTGGTGCTACACTTCCTAGCTGTGCACCTTTAGGTAAGTTAGGAAACATCTCTGGGTCTAGGTGTCCTCATCTGGGAAGGGGGATGGTCACCACGCACTCAGGTGAATATAAGGGGTGTTGGCGCAAATTCTTGCCTAGCCTCTCTGAGAGGCGGCATATTCCAGACCAGTGGTCTCCAACCATCGGCTGCACATGAGCGTCACCCGGGGAGCTTTCTAAATACTCTAGTTTAAAGAGGTATTTGGAAAAGCTCCCCGGTGACTCTCATGTGCAGCCAGGGTTGAGACTCACTCACTGGTCCCTAGCCTCACTGAGTTAAGTGTGATCCAGCAGCATCAACATCCCTTGGGGGCATCTTAGAAAGGCGGAATCCCAGGCCCCACCCCAGACCTGCTGAACCAGAATCTTCATGTTAACAAGATCCCCAGAGGACCCAACGCACATTGACAGTTTCTGTAACTGCGATTTTATAGTTTGAGAAGTACTGGCCTGGACAGTGGATTTCAGACATGTGTGTGTTTGGAGAAGGACAGAGGAGGCAATTTGGGAGGATTTGAGGCCTGTGGGGACCGGAAGGGAGAGTCCGTGGCTCTCATTAGAAAGGTGGATATTCAATCTGTAAAACCATAGGACGGAGGCCAAGTGACAAAGTAGCAAAATGAACTTATCCCCCCACACATCTGTGGACAGCTAATTTTTGACAAGGGAGCTAAGAACATACAATGGAGAAATGAAAGTCTCTTCAATAAATGGTGTTGGGAAAACTGGATAGCCACATGCAAAAGAATAAAGTGGACCATTATCTTACACCGGACACAAAAATTAACTCCAAATGGATTAAAGACTTGAATGTAAGACCTGAAACCATGAAACTTCTAGAAGAAAACATAGGCAGTACACTCTTCGACATCGGTCTTAGCAACATATTTTCAAGTACCGTGTCTGACTGGGCAAGGGAAACAATAGAAAAAATAAACAAAGGGGACTAAAAAGCTTCTGTACAGTAAAAGAAACCATCAACAAAATGAAAAGACAACCTAATAATTGGGAGAAGACATCTGCAAACCATACATCTGACAAGGGGTTAATCTCCAAAATATATAAAGAACTCATGCATCTCAACAACAAAAAACTAACAACCCAATTAAAAAATGGGCAAAAGACCTGAACAGACATTTCTCCAAAGAAGATATACAGATGGCCAACAGACACACG